CCCCAACTGATGGAAATTGTGCAGTCAATTATCAGTTTGTTGTTTCGAGTCGGGTTTGTGAACTGTGTTTCGTGCCTGGCACCAATTGGACCCTAAGTTTGCCTTTTTTTGTGTGGAGCAAGGCAAAGAAGTTTTTGGGAACGATCCACCTAGACCTAGACCTTCGCTGTACCGACTGAGACGCACTTATTTGCCTGTAAACACTTCATGTTCAGTGCCCCTTCTATACTGGGTATGTTCTTTTGGTTCTGTGCCCAGCATGCATCATCAACCTGCAGGGCCTTCAAATATCGTGTTCGGGGCTCCCTGACGCCTGTGGCTTGTGACTTTCAGCCCCTTAAATATGTAAAGATGTGGTTGTTAATGTTGCTGTCACAAGGCCATTGTTTAACCCTGCAAGCGTATAGAGACTTAGAAATGTCATTTCATGCAGCAGGGAGCTGCAACCTCCTTTAAAAACATACGCACAAATTCTGATTTTTTTGGTCAAGACTCCAGTGGCCTGGTTGCCTGTTTTCATCACCCGATCATGGGTATCCACCACCAACAAAGATGGGAGGATATGGGAGGATCATCCCTGATAACTCACATGTTTTTTGGGTTGGGTGGGCTGGTTCAGTCCCCAAGCTGCACCAAGGACTCTGACAGCATCGCCGAGACGGGCCTCTTAGAGAGCAGTCATGTGCAGGCTCTCTTCCCCAGCGTCACCAGTGGCTCGGTGGCCAGGTATGGATTGATATTCTAAACCACCCATAAATTGCAGCATTTTTCAGGGCGTTATGAATGTATGATATGTGAAAATGAAGTTCTAAACCACTGGAGCATCGTGGGTGCATTTTGGACAAAGATCTTGGGATACCCACAATGCGATTGGACAATTTATTGTTAGTGGCCTTGTGATACTCGAAAGGTGACTCACAATGCGGCGTTGGGACAGCCCAAGTTAAAATATGTTTTTAGAGTGTATTAGCGTAACTTTTTGGTGTTGAAGTAACGGTTAGCCTATCCCAAAGGGTAGCGCAAACCTTCCAGGTCCAGATAGTCGCATGTTTGAACTGCCACATTTGTCGACGACCGATGAGTTGTTCGTTTTCAGAAACTTGGTCGCCAGGAATCTGGTTCCTCCCCTTAAAACCCTCCCAAATAGAACTTGGCGATGACAATCGGCCTTTTTTGGATTATTTCTTGCATTTTACTTGAAATTGTGATTTTTAGGTAGCCATATTTCCCAAAGTTGCCACTGCAATGTTGGCAGAGCCTGGGGTCAGAGTCAGTTTGGTCTAAGGATTCTTCAACAGCACCAGCGATCGCCAGTTTGGCGTTTACTTGGCATCCAGTGGTTCAACACAGATTTTCTCGTCCCTTGGCATGGGAATGGAAGCGCCTGGCGGCTAGAGGATGATGGGGATAAAAAGGTACGTAGGTGCGGAAGTGAGCATCAGTTGAGCCATGGACCACAAAAGATTATGTGTTTTTAATGAACATAAGCAGATCAAATTGTATCACCCAATATCCCCCAATGCATCATACAGAGTACTCATATCATGATTGCATCATGTACCGTACCATGCACGATGCTCAACCTTCTTTGTAATATGGCTCAGATGCCAGACTTGTATCTTTGATCAGTTTGGAAGGATGTCAAGGATTCTTGCTCCTCAGCTTTGTTTTGAATGTGTTTCAGCTTTGCAACAGCAGACTTCACCTGGAGACTCGTAGAGACGTAGATGGTAATGCATGGAGCTGGGACAGCATCAACCCGAGCCACTGGTTCCCGAGGGTGCAAACCCGTGTGGTGAATCGCCGAGAAGATGAAGAACATGTGCAAACAACCTTCTGGGGGTCCTGGAGATTAGGTCGGCCACCGAACACGAGACACATTGTCCATGACAGAGATTTCCAAGTATACACCACTGGTGGGGAATCGGTGTTTGTGGGCTTGCATCATCACTGGTGAATTAGCACTGATTAACATACAGATCAAATGAAATGCCACAGTGGGTGGTAATATCAAACATGAATCTGGCATGGGATGCCAAAAACTGTCCCTCACGTGGTTTGAAAGATGAAGGTCCTATACTGGAACTTGTGATTGTGGGGTTCCATGTGAGGTTTTAATAGGCAAGCCCCCCAAATGGGACAGGTTGTGTTCATTTTGCTAGCATCATCTGGCGCCCAGTGATTTGAAGAGGTTCGCCTTCTGGCCAGGACCGGACAAGAATTTGGAGATAAAAGTGTCGGAAATGGAGAGAAAGGTCACATGCCTCCAATGTGAGACAAAGCCTCCAGAGATCAAATGGGAGAGGGTTCCCCTTTCCTTCGTGGAGTTTTACTTTAACGCTTTGAGGATATCAAAATAAATGAGTTTGGGACTGGGAGGGTTCCTTGATTATCTTTGATTGCGTAACCACCTTCCAAGAAATGCGAACTTTGCTGCTGGGCTGACGACTGAAGTGGGCAGGTCATCGGTAAACAGATGCAAGTTACTGACCAATTGTCGTGGTTGGTGTTTTGTTTAGATGAATAGGACACTGCACCCACTTGCTGCCTTTGCGGGTCATCTCGTTGAGTGACTTTTCCAGATCATAAGGAGGGTGACAAGAGACTTCCCGGAATTTCCAGCATAATTACTGCTTGATCAGGTCTACAACGATTCCGTTCCCTATGGCTGGACACAACAGACTGGAAAGACAAAAGCTGATTTCACCATCAGGCTGCTGCCGGGTCTGTGCAGAGATTGGGATTCTCACCCCACCCCAAGTCATCAACCAGCTGATGATCTGTTTTACTGAGGGAAATGGGTGGTAAGGGCACCCCCCTTGTTTGTCAATAGCTATGTGAATGTGTGGAACATTATGTTTTCCCTTTGTAGTTGTCTTACATCTGATGAAACCACAGTTTTCTTGCAGAAGTCCTGGTTTATGATGATGAGTGAATGGTTCAGCTGTTGACTTTCCAGCTGATTCAGTCACCCGCAGGCTATCGTGGCATCGGAAAGTGCTGAAGAAACTTGCAGTGCAAAGAGGGCAGTGCGGCAATTCCTTTTTGGATATATACACAGTGGCAATCTAAGGCATGGAAATAATTCACCGCTAGTGGGAAACCAAAGCATGGCATCATGTCAATGAAAAGATAGCCCCAGACCCATTTCTTGATGATTTTCTGTTTGAGGTGCTGTCCTTCGGATAAAACACCAATAGCCGCCCCTTTCCACTGGTGAGCCAGGACATTGTCTCTTGGACCCCTGGGGCAAGGGCTGGTACCAGGTGCGCACTGAAGGTCTGAGGATGAAGGCAATGATATGTGCAGGAGCACTGCAGTATGATACGTGTGTGGTAAAAACAGTGTTTCTTGCAGATGTTCCTTGCAACCAACCCAATGATTGACGAAAAGCTGCCGCGAGATGTTGCCGCAAACCCAGGGGGGCCTGCTGGGACATGATCGGTTGACAGTTCCGAAATAAACAAAAACAATAGACATGTCTACAACTCCGCTAACGATGGTATACAAGTACTGCATATACTTCTCCCATTCTTTGGGGATTTGTCAAAGGGGCTCAGCCAGCAAAAATCCAGCTGCGATTGTCCTTGCGCAGGTGATTCCTGTATCCTCGCGGCCCTGCTCCATTTTCCCGAAGAGCTCACCCTATCGGATGGCAGTCAAGCCTCTGCCACTTGGTTCAAGCATTCTTCAGAGCTCCGCCGCGAAGGATATCATGGATGTATATAATATATATATATGGATATATCATGATATATCCTTGCTGATCTGATTAGGATTTGCATAGTTGCAGTTGTTTTTCATGATGGTTCTTGAAAGCAATTCGTTGGATCCCCCCATATTATATTGTTTTGTTGCAATCGTGGGCCATTTTAAAGTTGCATGATTGTATGTGACATTATCATTGTAGCATATTGGAACAGCAGGGTGTCTGTGGGATTTGAAAGCCATTGCTCCACCAAATTGCAGCGAAGCAGGTCTTTGATGATTGGTATGCAACTGGCAGCTCCACTGAGCCTTGAAGGCCCATGCAGTTTGGCATGGGGCAGCTGCTGTTGCGCTAGACCCTGATGGCAGGGAAATAATACGCCATGACCGCTTGAAATTTGTAGGTGTTTTCAATCTGTGCTGATTTCGCATAATTTCGCATAGTGGTGCCACATGTTGCCCGATTTCCTTTGAAGTCATTCTTCACACCAGGATCTGCAGTGAAGAAAGCAGGTGGCACCAAGGGCAGTTGTTTCACTGCACTGAGTTTGTCCCGACTCCTGTACAGGAAGAGCAATCTCCTCAGCGTTTCCTCATGTTTCCTCAAGACTTGCGAGCGCCACAGAAAGATGTTGCTGTAAGATGGGACGACTTGGAGCCCTCCATGAGGTTGGTGATTGATGTTGATTGCATTCTGTCAGAAACCATACTCTATAATCAATACACCCCAAGACCAGCATGAAATATTCAATCGCGAATATTGTTGGTACAGTGGCACTGTTGCAAAACCAAAACCAAAACCTAAATTTGGCAACCCCCATTGTGCCAAATTTACCAGAAATGGGTGGTATCATCAACCAGACACCAAAATGGGATTATGTCACTGGCTTTACAACATCAGTCGAGGCACCAACAGGGAACGGTGTCCAAGTTTCTCAGCATTGGTTTGATTGAAGAAACACTGACCTCACCGCGACGGCACTAGATATGATGGCTAGAACTTGTAGTAAAGAGAAAGACTCCACAACCACCTTATTTCAGGTTGGTTACCCTCCTGTAATCAAAGGTGGCAATGGAAACTCCCGATGATTTCCCAGCTATAAACCTCCATTTATAGGTGTTTTCCCATTGCCATAATCATCCCATTCATCCCATCAATGTTCCATGAACTATAGAATACTATAGAATCTATAGATATATAGTATTATATATATACATATATATATAAATCCATGAACCATAGTTAACCATTGATTCCCAGAGGGTATGTAATTATTCCAGTTCCGACTCAGGTTGACCTGTGTGACCACTGGGCTGGGGGCGGTGCCATTCCTGGTGGCTGGGAGCCCAGCTTCCATCTTATAGCCACAAACAAAGGGAGAATTTGTAGCCATCCCTATGCACCCAAAGTTGGAGTAAGGAACTTATACCCTCTGGTTATTTAGCATAGCCATGGTATAGATAGCCCATTTATAGATGATTTTCCCAGCTATAAACCTCCATTTATAAGGGATTTTCCATGGCTATGTTAAATAACCAGATGGTACTAGACTTTAATATGTTATCTATCTATACACTGGAATCATGTTTTCATACAACAATCTCTTTCATGTGATGTGTGGATGTGTATATTGATGTATGCATATGGTTCGCCATGTCTAACATATCCGCACCTTTCTACAAGTGTATGACTTGATGTCACTTCAACTCCTGCGTGGCATAAGGTCAAGCCTGGACCAATGGGTATCGGCTTGGCAGTGGCAAATGTCCAGTCCCCAGATGTGGTGCCAGAGAAACACCAAATTTCCCTCGAATCAAACAGGAATTTTGGGAGTACCCTCTAGCTGCGTCAAATGGATGTTAAAGCCCCCCAAAATTGGGATTATCGGATTGTGGCCTATGCTCACAAGGGATCAGATGGCTTTGGGGCAAAGACCCGATGGGTGCAGAGAAATTATATCAGTATATCTCGAGTATCACTAGGCGATCTGTTCGCATTTCGAAACAAAGTTTGACCCATATATGCACATTGGAACATGTCTATTTGGCCCATGTTTTCCAACTCCGATGATGTTGATCCCTCAGATAGCCCTTGGTAAGATAGTGAAGGCCTTGGTACAAATCTCATCCGGTGGGAACACCAGTTGCAAACCTGTTCAAACTTCTAGGTTTGCATTAAATTCCATCCCATTCTGCATATATAATCCTGTATACAAGTACTAGTACAATGGAACTTTATCGACTTTGTCGATGTTCATCGGAGGTGTAGCCGGCCTCTTGTTTGCTTGGTCTTTCGGGGGAAGAAAATTATCCAACAATTACCAACACACCGATCGCAAGAAACACGGGATAAGCTGCAAACAATAGAACATGGGACATACAAACATTAGAAATGTGTCTGGTCAGACTTGTCAACTTGCCCTTGGAATAAGGCAGTGGCCGCTGGCATGATGCTGGCCGCCTCCTTCTCCATGGTCTTTGAGGTTTGTATAAAGTGATTGGTGAAGGATCATTTGAGATGGGTGTGTTTGACAATGCGGATAGCTGGATACTGAAAGTATCCGACACAACGGCAGTTGCGATGGGGAAAGTGATGATAAACCGTTGGATTTGGAAGTCATCTGTTCTCAGACAAACCCAGTTTGAGATAGTTTAAGGTAGAATTGTTTGCCAGTTTGATTCGGGTTTTGTGTATTGCTACGCAAAGCTACGCTGCTGCGATGAAAAATGGTTCAGGGTATCCAAAAACTTAGCCAACCTCCCATCCAGAAGTATCTGATGTTTGGGGACCAGATAGAACTTTGCAGGCAGAATTTCAAGCAGGTTTCCAAATGTTGTTACCATCTCCTCAACTAACATAGGGGTTAGAAGACTACGTTCCTCTAAAACTGGGTGATTCTCAGGCTATACCGTAATCGGGGGATGGATGGGGATGGTATTCACATTGCGAGCAGTCTGACAATCGCAGCTTCCGTCGCCAACTGCTGAAGGCCCATGAACATTCTGGACCCTACGACTGGCAGCTCTTCGTGGGCCTGGTAGTGGCTCAGTGGCATTGGAGAAACATCAATTTCATTCATCAAACCATTGGAGAAACCCGCATATCAAAATATGGGTTCTTAAGCCCGTATCAAAGCATATCAAACCATATCAAACACCAATTTCATTCAGCATATCTAGAATCTAGATGTTTGAGAACCTTCAAAAACTAAGATTCACCTTGGAGTTGGATGGTAAACAGCCATGGATTTCGTGGAAAACGACAGGCTGGAGCCCTCTTCATCCGAGCCAGCGAATGGCTCCATGGGGCCGATGAAGAGGAGGCTCCTTTTCGGCGGAGAGAGATGAGGGGATGAAGGAAACACTATGAAACAACTGACAACTACCATGACTGATTGGTGGTTTGGAACATTTTTTCATTTTTCCATATATTGGGAACAATCATCCCAACTGACTAATATTTTTCAGAGGGGTTGAAACCACCAACCAGATGAATTTGGTATCTTAACACATGTTTGTCAGATTATTCTATCCTAATGGGATTTTGTAAATCTCCAAGACTACATTGTCCTAAACCCTTCTGTGGGTGGAACGATATCCCCAAGTCATCACCTCGCACAGGAAGAGGGGATTGCTGCCTTGCATGATGCCTTGCTTGAGAGGACACGGGGTGAATCAGGCGGTATGGAGAGAAATCTGATGTAAGCTTCGCGTCTAATGATGTCACATCATGTTTACCCCCTCGAAATTCAAGATGTTAATCCATCATAACAGTTTCCAGTACATCAGAATTCCAAAGTGTAATGTTCGAAGGTTCTATCTGAATTTTCAGGGGTGTAGATCCCGTGGTGCTCTTTACCATTTTTGCCAAGTTCAAGTTGGCTATGAGCTATCGCACCCCCCAAAAGATAGATTACATACTCCAATTCTAAGATATTGGCAAATTTAACCTGACCGTACCTTAGCTATCATGTTTGGAGGGTACACCTTTGATCCTTTGCCCTTTGCGCAGTGCCAAACGGCCCGCGCGGTGCGCTAGGAAGCATTGGAGAAAGGCGATGCTCATTTTCACTGTCATGTTCGGAACTCGGAGAAGTCGGCCAGGGTCAAAATTGTTCGGCAGTGGCTTTGATCGATGCCTAGAAATTATACCGTCTGGTTATGACTAACATAGCCATGGTATAGATGGCCCATAGAAATAGATGGTTTACCTATTAAAAATGGTGAGTTTCCATGGCGAACTGTTAAATAACCAGATGGTAACATATGTTCATGATTGGATCGGGGGACTCGTGCCAAAATCACCAACAGTTCAGGTGCATCGCTATAGTTGAGCCAGATATCAATACAGGAGACTACTGTATCATCCAGCAAAACTCCCAGGAGTTCTCATGTTGGGTACAGAAACACCTCTTTCATGCTCTCCAGTCAAATCACAGCCACCTCAAGATAACCTGAGTACTGACGATATCTGGTAGGGCAGTAAATCATACCAGAAATCTCCGTCATTTCAGGCTGGTGAAGTAGTGTGGCTGGCAGCACAATCCCCATGTTGAAGGGTAAAATTCTCTACACAAATAGGGAATTGTCCAGCTATGTGAGATTACCAGAGAAGCCATCCACTTTGGATCTCCATTGGTTTTTTGGGGCATGTGTGAAAATGAGGTGAAATTTTATAGACTGTAACATGGAAAATGATGATGTACAACCAACTTTAGTATGACCATTTGGGGGTACCTTGCGGGGAAATGGATGAGATTCACCGGTGGGTTTAGGGTGTTTCCCCCTAAATTATAAGCCTGATTGGTTGTTTCAAACAGTTTTTTTGGTCCACCCTGTTTGGAATGATTGTCCCAAATTCACTATATAAGATTTTGGGGATGGGTTAAACCCACCAGAAACTTTCACAAAGCATCAGCTCATCGCCCGTTTTCCTGGCAGGTTCTGTCACTCTGCTGCAGAAGGTATCGCCGTGGGAGTGGCTTTCAGCAGGTGCTGATGGGCACCGGGCGGGGATTTAAGATGATTTGATTTTTTTAATGAGGAATTTTGGAATGCAATATAATATTTGGATTCAATTTACTGATGATGTTCATTAATTTTAATTCACAAGTGAAATCCTTGCCGGGAATTCAGGAGCAGATTCGATTATGGTGTATCTTGCTGAAACATGGAGTGTGTCAAAGACTGGCCATGATCATTTTGGCCTTGTTTCACCACCAAAGCAGATTGACATCGGTGAGGTCATGTCCATCTTGGGATGAAGATCGAAACATTCTGCAGGGTAACAAGCCGCAGCAATTGCCAGGCAGTTGAACCATGAGTTTGGCATTTACATTTCACTACTACTGGCAGCGACGACCTTGGATGGCTGGACTGGGTTTTTATAGGTCGCTATGTCAGCGCTGACGGGAAGACTAGTCGAACTTTCGGCCATTTGTTGTGGACATAAGATAACATAAGATGACCAGCAAAAGATCAGCACTACTGACATTGCCATATCATCCATATCATAGGGATATGCGGTGCAGTTGCAGCCGATTTTCCAGATCCTGCCGCAGTTTGGCTGGTGAGGTGCACAACGTTCCAGAGGGCTTGGCAGTGGCACTGGTGCTAGTTCCCCGTCCCTTGGCTGCGGTGAGCTTCTCCCAGTACCTGGTAGATGCTTTTTGACTGGATATCAGACAAGATGATTACTGATGGTTTCCCGGGAAAATCTGTACTGTAGGCCAATTGTTGGAGTCTACTAGTATTCAACGGGTAGCCTTGGAATATGTTGCCTGCAGCCTTGTCCCATGGATTGTGATGGGGCTGTTACTGGCTTTGGGTTGACTGACTGACAATATCTGACAATCCAGGCGGCGTTTCGGCAACCTTGACTGCCTTCATCGCGATCTTGACCAGCGTCCCACAGCCCGTACTGGTGCGCCGTGCAGAACCCTTGAGAACAGACTTGTTTTTCAAAACCCACTCCGAAGGTGTTCTTTTTTTGGGGTGTGTTCAGAATGCCTAAAAATCTTGGTTTGAAGGAACATTTACAGGATGCCAGGGTCTTACCAGTCAAATGAATGTGGTGCCTTCCCTCAAAATTTCCCGAAAACTGTGAATCTCTTGGCCATGCAGATTGAAGTTGGGTACCAATTTCGACCTGTTATGGGACCCATTGGAAGGCCCTAGCCGCATTCTTGTTTGTGGAGGCTGGATGCAGGGAAAGTGGTTGGACGGGGCTCACTGATTCAGATTGAACATGGAGTTGCTCTGAGAGTCAGAAGGACAATCCTTTGTGGTGTCTCCCTCCTACAACTTCCATTCGAAAGTCCAACTCCCAAAAAATTGGGTACATGACAGTACATGACTAGCAAGATTGAAATTGGTCAATGGAAAATCCCATCGTATAGTTTTGCCAGGATCCATATCTTTGGGGGGACGGCAGTTTCTAGGTGCAACGTCCGGGGAAACTTTGCTTCTGGCAGGTGTTTCAAGGCCTCCTACCCATCGGCTTAGCATTTTCTGCAGGCCACTGTGGAAGATGTTGATGGCATCTTTCAACTTGTGTCGTTGTGATTGAAAAACTTGGCACCCATTCCTTATTTTGTTTTTGTCAAAGCTGAACTTGTATTGAACCACTTTCAACTGGCTGGTTGTTTTTGGTTCGGACGCCTAGCATTCTTTCAATTTATGGGACCACCCCAAACCGGTTGTTGGCTTCACGGTTTCACGTAGTAGAACTATGTGGGTCTGCCCAAGCAAGGGTATACCATGATATACTCCAAGAACGACAATGTCTTGTTATATGGAAAACCACTTTCTGTATCCAGGTTTCCTTGTTGCCGTCTTGGCAAACCCTCGCAACTGCACTGGGAAGGCGCAATGGTCTACGTGTGTTTGCACGAGCTGTTGATCGAGTCCATGGAACAGTTGGGTGTCACCAAAGCCGTGTTGGTTGGGGTCCCCCGGATGGGGCCCGGGATGCAGGATGATGAGGCTGGAACATCCATGGGCAATGAACATCCAGGAATGCCCAGCTGAAATTCTGGGGCACTTAATCAAAAATCACAATTCGGTTTACAGGACTTGAACAGGATTTAAGCTAATCAAGAGGGGTACAGTAGAAGTCAAGATTTAAGATGCTGGAAACCACAGATGGCTTGCATTTTGTCTTAACCATTTAATTTTGGGGGTCCGATATGACAAGAAACCATCCCAAAGAAATAAGAAAGTAGAAATGTAAAACAAGTAAAACGCTATTAAAATAGCTGAGAAAATTTGGTTGTGGCCCACATAAATTGAGATCAGCGGTTGTTGCTTGTTGGCAGGCTCCTAAAAGACATTGAAAGACTGGGCTTCTGAATCCCATCATGCACCCAGAGCCTCGCGGAGCCGAGGCATCCTCGCTGTCCTTTCTGACCATGTCAGCCTGCATCTGTTTGTTGCAGTGCTGAGCTCAAGTCAGCAGAGCAATGCCCAGTTGAACCCTGGTGGTTGAGAAATAAATATGAGGGACTCGTTTCAGAAAAAGGCTGCCAATTGACAATTGACGAATTCCTGGCATTAAAACTAACGATCCAAGCTTGAAACTTGAAACAATATGTTTGCCGCAGCCGCAAGATAGGGCTTTACAATTCCTGTTACTTGCAGCATCTTGCAGCGTATATGAATCAATGCTTAGGCGCGCTTAGCTATATGAATACTGTGAATATGAATACTGTAATTATCATGTCCGTGTCAGTCAATGCTAGTTCATAGCCCCTGCCAGCTCAACCACGGATCCTCACATCCCTTGATCATCCGTGCGGGCTGTCCCCACGCGCAATCTGAGGTCTCTCACAGGTGTTTAAAAATGACTTGGTGTTCGAAGGTTGCAAAGGATGCCTGGAAGAGTGCCCAGAGTGGCCCAGCAATACCGAGCGACCCGGCCGAAGAATGGTCAGGTCATGGTTTTTTCCCGATTTTTTAATGAGCACCTGACTGGGGTTGTTTCACTGGGACCCACGGGTGAGAACAAAACAGGGATGAGAAGCAGCAGGATGAAAAGTCGTAAAGAAGAACACAAGTACTGACTTGGACGTACTAATTTGGAGTCAGCAGCCTGATGGAACATCAATGGGCATCGGTTGAAGTCGCACCAGCTGGTTGCTGGTGTCCACAACAAATCACTGCGATGATGATGTTCCTTATATAATACGGTAACGACATTTAAATATGTGGAGGGCGGGCCAGACCGCGAGGCCCCGGATGTAGTATGAAATACCAGTTCGTATATTTAAATGTAGTTGCAGTATGTTTAAATGAATTGGATTCCGTATGTTTAAATGGCTGGGCGGGCCAAGAAAAACCTTCCCGGAGGTAGTCTAAAATACCTGTTCGTATATTTAAAAATCCGTATATTTAAATGTAGTTACCGTATCTTTCAGCAGATGGCTCATGGCTCAACCACTCACCAGTCAACATTTCATCCCTGGTGGAGAAGCCTAGACCCGTGGTAATGGCATAAGCCCATTGCATGGCCGACCGCGATGTCATTTCGTCGAGTACGGCCCAGATGGTACTCGAAACCCCGCCCAAAGCAGCGGGAACCGAGCGCCGCGCAGGTAGATAGGTAGCCTGTTACATTTCACAAAGTCAAGGTGTTTTCATGTGGTTTAATATGCCTCAATAATGTTTTGATACGTTTAAATATGTGTGGTTGATGGGAGTTTGCTCTCCCCCTCTTTAGACTGCAGCTTCACCAGTTGCACCCCGTTGCATCGAGATCTTTTGATGTGGCCATCATATGGTCGTTAGATCCAACACCTGAGGTGGGTCAACGGAGCCATCTCTGGTGGTGGGGAAGGGATAACCCCTGAGATGTCCAAAAAAGGAGGGAGTGCCCAACAGTTACCACCTAGGTGTATTAGTATACCAGTATACCAATGTAATTAGCAGGTGTCTGATTTTTTGAGATTTGTTTTTGTTATGTTGATTATTTTTTGGACATACCCACTTAGGAAATAGCAGCTAGCAATCGCTGAGACCGCTGGACCTTGAGTGCAGAAAGCTGCTTGGCCTCAGTGGGACTTGGATTTGACCATACGAAAGGGCAGTGGGCTTAAAAGTTATGACTTACCGTGTACCCCATGAATCCAATAATCCACCAATTTCAATGATTTCAGCCATGCGTTACTCCACAATCCAATGTTGGAATCAGCAGAGGCTCAACAAAGACTTGACCCACTTGACCCATGATCTTCATATCCAGGTCGACCCCAAAGTGGAAAGATCTCCAGAAAGAGCCGCCTCGATAGGATGAACCTGGCAACTAATCTATATTGCTATAAATCTGTTAGAAAATTGGTGCAGCCTCAGCATCAGTTGAATGCCAAGAATTTTTCAGCTGTTTGGCTTGCTCATCATCAGCAGGAAGTGCTTGAGATGATTCCGTCAGAACTTCAATAGACTTTGGACAGCTGAGTTGCTGACTGGCACTGGCATGAAATGTGTTGATTCAGAGATATAGAATAGTACCATGTACCAACAATGGTTCCAGAGCAAGCCGAGTTGATATTCCACGTGCTGTCGATTTGCTTCAGCACATGGCCAGCGAATCACAAAAATAGAGGGCAGAAACGTGACGATGGAAACTGGTTAAAACAACATAAATCGATGAACGGGAGTGAAATGCACCGGCATGCCGGCGGGGAGTGACGATGTGAGGACCGAATCTGGGTGACGCTTTTGGCCAGACCCTGCTACCACCAGACTTCCTAAATGACGATGACAAGGAAGATGATGATCCGTATACAGCACTTTACCATCCCTCAGACCCTGCATGATCCTGCTCAACAGGGGATTGCAAAGACATGCAAAGACATGCAAAGACATGCAAAAATTATTTTCCTCTAAAAGTCAAACTGGTAGTGGGAGGATGGTATTGGATATCATTACTTCACAATCTTCGCGCATACACTATATCCAAAGTAAACAGCCTAGATTGAAGCAACAATTTGCCTGGATAGGAGTGGAACATTGGAGAGGCAGTTGCGGAAGGCCAGTGCCTCCACTTTGCAAGATGGAACTCATATGTGTGCGTGTCTGTGTGTGTGTCTGTCATTCTTCTCAACAGATATATGAATATGATGTAGTTTGGATAGATATTTATTGAATTGTACATTATGATTGAATATATTTGATACTTCAATGGTTGAAATATATTTGAGAGATATCAGAGCTTTTCAATAGATTATATTGATTCCATTGTATAGCAATATGCAATACAAAACAAGAGTATGCAATAAAAAAAAAGTAGTTTCACTTGGTTTATGTAATTTATTGATATTTATTGTATGATTATGTTTTGTGTCATCTAGCATATGTATATATATATGTCCTCATTGTACATATTTTATGTAAATGACATGTAGTAACTGTAGTATTTATCCATTAACATAAGCATCATCCAATATTTTTGAAGTACATCCCAATTGCGGCTAAATCCACCATATCTTCGCCAATCAACAGACATCATGTTAGGATATGTTAGGCCTGCGCTGATGGCCGACTGGAAGACGCCCAGCAGCTCCTATCACAGGCAGGAAGCCACCCATCAAAAGCAGTTTTGGGAATGCTGTTATGGGGATAAACATCATTGACGCATAATTGAACCATCATTGAAACACAATTGAATCATCATCCATTGTCGGGGGCCCCTGTTAAAATTTAACCAACAGTAGAATGGATTTTCCAACAGGTTTTGGACATGCTTTGACTCTATTCAGGTGCCGAAATTCGAGGTCCTGTGCCATCTGAGGACATGTGATGCCATGTGTTTGGGGATGGTACCTTGCAGCGCCTTTTACAGAACTACATGTTGTTCAACACCTGAAATATATTCAAATATCCCTTACATAGGATGGTCACATTGGTTTGTTCTAGTGGGGTACCGGAGGTTTAGGATGTATTTGTGTGGATCAATGCTGGGTCTCGAATTTGTTTCGAGATACCTCTGATCTGGTCGAGGTTTGCGCCAGTTCGAAGAACGAATCAGGCAGCACCCCTTTGCATGAGGCACCGGCACCAGGGATGTTTTTGGGTATGGCATGGTGTACATAGCTGAAAGACTCAGCTGGGGAGCAAGAATGCCGCAAATGTGGTGATTCAACGGATTTCCTACTAAGCCATCCGGTTTGATGCTCGTTCGTTTTAAGCATTAATTATAGGTGTCCATGTTCTAAGTCTTGGAACAGAATGATGCACAACACTTCAAATGTGTGTTCTTGTTTTGCGTGGTTTGCCACTAGAACCAAAGGTCCAAGCGACCAGCTAAAGGTTCCAGATCTAGAATCCACGCATCATGTTTTGATAGTCCGATATCAATCCTATCTAATTCGATATCATATACATACTAATGGGATTAGCATCCCATAATATAGGCTGCCATAATAATACCATTAAATATTAATATCATTAATATAGTCATGTTTCAGAATACCATAGACACTATGTTTACTTTTAGTAACCATCCCATCATATTTGTCACTTACCGATCCCATTTCAGGCCTAGACCCAGTCATAGCTATCCTCGCTGGTCTGGTAGGCAGCGTGGTCGGGACACCTAGAAATTTGCGCCCTTTTGTTGGAGAAGGGTGCGGAGGCCAGGTGTTGCGGCTGCGACTGAGGGGAACTGAGGTTGGCAAAAGCTGGCTGGATACACAATTTGGTCGGTAGTTTCACATATTCTATATGTTTGCATATATCCATTTGTTTATTTAGTTTGTTTTACATAGTTTAGAACTTAGAACCAGATACATTGATGTCATCCAAACTGTGGATGATGATCGCAAAAGACTAATATTCTTTGGATGAAACCAAAAACTATGTATATGGCCAAAACAAAGCCTCTTTGCAATCCCCAGCTGAGTTGCAGGTCATCCTTTTGGAGCGACTGCGCTCAATTTCGGCTGTATGCAATGTGTGCCGCGACAATGCCATTTCTGGGCTCAGATTAGAGTTGCGTGGGGCAACAAGAGAGTCATGTTTGTGCATATTCATGCATGTTTACAATACATGTATCAAGCTTGGTTCCCAGGCCAGTAATCTTAAAAGAAAACTGGTTGCAGTTCAAGAGAGCAGCTTGCTTCTTCGTTAGCGCGCTTTTGATTTGCAGAGCTAGCCGGTCGGAACAAGACCGCTCCTGCTCCATATTTGCTTAGCAGTGACCTCAGAGCTTGTCTGTGGAGTTCCATCCTGTTTTTTGCATGTTTGAGATAGACCATGTGAAAAGAGACTTTGACAGTTTTATAGAACTTGAGGGTCCTCAGATCCGTTTCATGGATTGAACTTCTATTACGGAAAGTGTCCCTGTCCTGGTGGTTGGTGATGAATAGAGGGAGGAAGATAATTGAAGATCCTCTGAAGAACCCCAGGGTCAATGGGAATCCATTCCAATAATGCAGCCGAACGAAACCTCTGGTGGCAGGTAATGATGTATATCTATATATATATATTCATTTGCAAGTCTCATTCATTTTGGGGGGCCATTTCAGTGATATACCAAGAAAATGCCATAATGAGAAAAATGATGATTAACCATTGGATTTAGGGCTACCGGATTTCCTCACAAGCATTGGACTGTGAAGCCAAGCCCTTGATACTTGATCTCTCCCCAAGAGGTCATTGCTCAGCAATGCGCCAACAGGCGTTCATGGCAGAGGCTTTGCCGTGTACAAGGCCAAATGCGGAGAACGCAATCCGGGGATGATCCGTTCCGGAAGTCACTGAATGATTTGGATTCGTGCAAGAAAATGGATTATGATGGATAATGGCTGATCATATTATAAGTATATAACTTAAATGTTTAGTAAGTTAGGAACTGACTGATAACTTATGAATTTGTAAGAAACTTATAAGATGTTATGGCTCATCATTACTGGGATGTACTCGAAAAAATGTTTAGCATCTGAGATGTATACATGTGGTAGATCCCAAACTAAATGATATATAGGCACATATGGCAGCTACAAACCACCAACTTCAGGTATCATCCCAGCACAGGTGGCCGATCAAAACCCTGGTAGCCATGGTTTCAATTGCCCTCTGGTTTTTTAATATAGCCATGGTACAGATGGCCCATTTAATAAATGATTTATAGATGGTTTACCTATTAAAAATGCTGATTTTCCATGCCTATGTTAGTCATAACCAGATGGTAGAATAGGTTCATCATTGTTATTCATTGTTCATCCCCCAAAAGAAAGGCGTTGACCCATCCACTGGTTGAGGACATGACATCGTTCATGTTCAGCAAGTATCCAAGTGGGACCTATGGGAAGATGCCGCTAAACCTTGGGATTTTCGGGCCACTTTTGAGAGCCGCTAAACCGCCTCTCTGTCCGCAGGGCCAAAGGTTTGACAGGGCGATGGCTGGCATTGTCAGTCGCTTGGTTTAACCATGGAAAGAAAGTGTGGATTCAACCGTCCAAACGAACCGATGGCATTATCGATTGGATTTATGGGATGTTTTGTTGATGGGTTTTACAACCTCGGTTTTGTTTGGTTAACCCCTCCATACCCCTCCAAGATTCAGGCCAATCTCAAAAGTTCGAACCCCATTCCATCCACTGGTTTGAAACATCATTTCCTCTTTTGTTGCAATAGAATAAGGAAGTGAAACGCTGTGCAGCCTTTTGCCTCCGAATGGAGGGATAGGAAGAATGAACATCCTGCAAAAAGGCGCTGGATAAATTCTAGATTCAAATCCAACTTCCAGTTTCCAAGTAGCTCTTTTTTCAAGGTATCTCTGTTGCAAAAAGAACTCCTCACAGTGTTGAAAATGATCCGCATGTAGCAAAAGCCTACTGAGTCCTGTTGAAACCCCATTGCTCAAGCTAGTGGTCCCAGGTTTTCACCGAAACAACTCCAGTTGTCGTTTCTTCAAATAAAAATACATCAGTATGGCAAGCTTCATTGATTAACCAGCCACTTGTGGTGAAGGAAAAAAACGCAAAACCATTCAGCTCGTTTTCTGAGTGATGCCACATCCGAAGTGTCCAAAGCTATCCAAAATCCTGGTCTGACCAGCCAACTTTGATCAACATTGAATGAGATAATGAGTACGTATGGTGCAGAATCATTGGCCTCCAGTTTGGGATTGTTAAATACTTCTGATTTTTTTTAGAACACTAAAATCATCCGTCGTTTCTGGGTCCATTGGTCGCCCCTTTTGTAGTGTCTCTTTGCAGGTTCTGCTTCTGATCGGCCTTGGCCATCCAACTTTCTTCAGCGGCCAGGCCGATCCATAGAGATCTGTCTAGAGATATGCTGTAGAGATGCAGACCAATTATATGCACATGATATAGACTATATATGACTATATTATAATGTATTATAATATATCATATATATATATACATACTCTATATACAGGCTATTTTTAGACTGTATATCAAGACTATATAGAGATTGGCATTGAGAACATAGTTCATTAAGCTGAATTAGATAGATTAGACAAGAAAAGACAATACAACATGACAAGACAAACAGACAGATAGAATAAGATACTGTAGATAGGGTCCAGATTTCCTGAACTACGTATCCTGAAGTGGTTGTGAGATGGTGCTGACCCACCAAGTGGTGATGTGCATTCAGGAAATCTGAGGAAGCCTGTCCAGCGAGAGTTATTGAGATCCGTGGATAGAGAGTGTTATTCATATGTTAGTGTCAGATCACAACTTGGCTCTGACAGATTATTATGTTTGTATCATGGAACATGGAGTTTTCAATGAACTTCGATTGTTCCCCTTTGGCATTTGGCAGTGGTTGACCCCTTTGGTTTTCAGAGCCAGGCGCAAAAGCAACTCGGCCGAACTTGAACTGGACCTGTAGAGCCCCTTACGGCGGTTTCAACCTGTTTTTGTCCATGAATGGTGGATACTCCAAAATGATCGATAGGAACATGATGACATTTTTTGGATCTGTTGGGGTACTTTATTGTTGGACAACCTATAGCACAAAGAAATCTCAGTAGCGAGTAGTTTATTATTTCTTCTTTTACCCTTGGTTCGAGGTGCTGTTGGGGAAGAGAAAATGGAATGCTTAAAGTCTAGCAGCCTGTTTTCCTCTTTGCACATCTATGAAGAGGTATGGAAAAACAAGCGCCGGCAAGAAGACATCAAAAGGTATGGCCCAGGACTGTATTTCCCATGATGGTCATAGGTGTCTATGACTACTTGAGTCATCCACTGATAGGTCACATCATGTAACATCCCTATCCACATCATGTCACGTTGTTTGCTGGTTCAAATTCAAATCCCACAGCTGGATTGTGGCTCGGTGTGTTTACTGTTTCCTTCTCTACCCACAGCAGTCAGGAAAGTGAAGCCCGGTTGAGTATAATCATAGTCAGTATAGTCGGTATAGTCAGTATAGTCAAACGGCATGGTGAAATCGCCATGGGTCCATAACCACCAGCTATGGTTGTGAGATCCATGGTACTGATCGGCTTTTCACCACCCATTATGGCTTCGCCTGAGGCCAAAGCCTCTAACACCTGCACGGCAGAACAATGTCATTGCGACCGCTGCGCCACCGGCCACGGATGCGACGGAGTCTTCCAGGAAGACTATCCTGCTTCTTTCGGACGCTAGTGGCCGGGAGACCCAAGGGCAGACCCCAAGTGATCTTCAAAGGGATTTCTGGCAGCCCGAGCATAGTGCAATGCACTTGAAACCAGTACAGTTGATGAAGCTCTTGTCAGTGGTTACTGAATCTTCATGAATCTTCGCCATGTTTGTTGGTTCATATCCCCCTAGATATTTCCTGATATTTCCATGTTTTGGGGCTGAAAATGCCACCTACCCCAGTAGTTGCATGCCTTGACCCTGGGAAATCCAAGGGCGCACGGCATCTGGCCTCTTGGCGGGTGTCCTGGCGCAGTTCGAGGTGATCGGTGACGGCATCGAGGTTCAGACTGCCACCGAGGCGCTGGTGTCGTGCCAGATCGGTCAAGATGTCGATGTTTGAAATCTGGAAACTCCGAATGGTTCAATGTTTGTATAAGTGTTAAGTGATAGGACTGCTTAATACTGCTTATCACATCTTATCACAATGCATTGGAAATCAAGGCTGGAATATCTGAGGTTTGGTCATGTTTGGTCCTTTCACAGACCATTTGGCTCAGTTTTGGCCTTCTGCGGCCCCATTTGAGACCTGGTTTGAGGACAACGATCTCGACATGGACAGGTCACCACTAGGGAAAGGCTTCAAGAAGTCATCGAGGCCATCAAAGGCAGAGGCCATCCAGGGTGCCCTGGACATGCCATGTTTGGTACAGGGCTCTGTAAATGTTGCTGGTTGCTGGTTTCATTATGTTTCATTTAGATATTTAGATTCACGATGATTCATGTATTCATGTACTGTATGTTATTTGAACCGTATTTGGGATGATGATTCCAAGATATTCCAAGTGACTGATATGTTTCAGATGGGTTGAAACCGCCAACCAGAAACAATGCAATATATCACATGACATGAAGATGGTTAGACTGTGTTTGTCGGTTTCATCACCATTGGTGTAAGCGGCTTGCTTAATCTAATCCCATATGGGACCTCAAGACAAATATCGATTCAATACCAGAGCACGGTGTTTGATGGGGTGTTTGTTTGGGGGAAGAAAATACTCTGCCTAAAACCAAGATGAAACCCAGACCGTTGCACTTTCCAACAATAAAGTATGTCGTTCAATGGGTTTTTCCGATATCTTTCATTTCATATTTCCTAGCATTGGTCGAAGGCAAATGTTGCAGATATATCAGCATATATATCAGCATATATCATCATATATCAGCATATCCCCTGTATTCTGGCATTTAAAAATCCCATTGTTCAGAGATGCCCTGTTTTTGGAGCGGCGTCTCGAAATCGCCAGGTGGCAGCGTCCTGGTGCTCGCGACCTTGGTGGTCCAATGCTCAGTGGATGGTTCCATTCGACCATGGATTAGCATTGAAACCCATGGTGACGTGGGGATCCCCCATTTGAATTGGATAATTATGGATCATTGGTATCTCAACATATTCGTTGTGATTGGGAAGATGACAATAAACCATCATTGGAGCTGATGGTACCAAACATGTTGATCAACAGGAAATGCGGATGGGGGAAAATTGAGATCCACCAGGTAGGGTGACGAGCCGAGGATTCCACACTTTCTGGCTGGGTTGTGATCTTAGAAGCTTTGTGGCTGTTGAAGAGGGGCACAAGAGGGATATGAGGATGTGTCAAAACGTAGTTCCCCCTGTGAACACATAGGGTGAGTGGTAAGTTCTTTATGTTGATATTATATGTTTTATGATTTTCTATGTAGGTTGGCCCTTCCATTTTTGTGGCTGGACAGTGTAGACCCCTTTGCAGTCACCCAACAGAAGGTGTCGTGGCCACTGGCGCATCGCATATTAAAGACTTGTTTCAAGGGAGTTGAAGTATGATAAGCGATCACCCATCATTCATTATATTCCATTATCAAGATATATCAAGATGTCCCAAGTTTCTTGATGATGTTGGTCTCTGCCCATGGATCTGATGGTGTTCATCGTCCAAGTGTTGAGGCAAAGACATTCTGTGCAGACTACAACTTGCAGTTTGTCGAGGCATCCACTGAAGACATCGGAGGGTGAGCGGGCGGAAAATGACAGATATGACAGATGTCCCAACAGGTGGTGACCCTTTACTTTCAAAAATGCTTTGTGTCCAGATATTGGATTCGGGTTTGGAAGCCGATCATTTGGGTAGAAACATGTAGAAACTATTTTTGGTACATTTTTTCTACATACACATTTGATTTTATCCATCACAGTTGAATCAGTTGCACCTTGAGCGCCATGTCTTGTTGATCCATCTCCAGGGATGAGTTGGACACCCACGGATCCAGACTGGGATGCACAAGGAGGTTGACTGAAACTGAACCTTAAAAGGTTCATCTCCAGCCTTTTTTTTCTGTAATACATAACAACATAGAATGTAAATATCGCCAAATCAATCTGAAACATATCTATAATATATATATATATATATTGTATATATATTATATATATATATATGAGCGCAATCCCTATATTCACGAATCACCATGTCTATCCACTGTAGATCCCCATGATCGCAGGTCATGGGTCCCTTATTGGACCGCATGGGTGGCTTCTTAGAGCAGCGCTCCAGGGGCGAGCCGGGCGCCAGCGCGGGGTCCAACTTACTGGGTGTCGCCTGTGGTGAGCATCGTAGGAACATCTGATGTGGGCAAAACTTGGAGGATCCCTTATTATATCTGATTATTGTTCAAAAAAAGAAAGTTGTTGAGAAAAGTATAGAGCATCTATCCTATTGGTACTCGTGTTAATTACAACTGTTGGACTGTTTGCAGAATTGTTGGTATGAGTGGGGTTGTTACCAGCACGAGCAATGCCAGCGGATAGTGGAGGTTGCTTGAGGGCCAATACCAAAAATGTATAAGAATGTGATGATTTCTGGTGATACTGAGTGCGTTGGGGTACACTTTATGATGCAAAACCGTCTCAGACTAGTTTAGAAGCTCGTTGAAACTGAAAACACTCACCCGGAAAAGGGAAACAAAACCTGTTTGATAAGGGTGGGGGAAATTCCACCTACATGTTCATTAGCTAACTGGTACCCAATTTGTGGTCACTTGCCGCTGCGAAGACCAGTAGCGATTCCTGGGATAGTCAATTTGGGGCATGACTCTCATGCAATGGGAAGAAAGTGCAAGAACTGGGATGACTCCTCCTACGTCGTGGGAGTTCGTGATAAGGTAAAGATAAACACTATTGAGCTACTGTAGAAATTCAGTTCTGGGGCTGCTTAAAACCATGCTGGATGTGGATGTGGAAGCTGCCGCCATTGAAAGTGCCCCAAAATGCGAAGAAAACATCTTTGAGGTCTCAGCGAAAGAGCGATCAAACGGATCCTGAACAAAGACTTCTTTGGGTCCGGAGCCCAGCTGGTTCTGTCAAACAGCAAACATCGCGGTTATGCATAAGAGGGAGCTTCAAAGAACGAAGTTGATGGGTGCGACGGACCATCAATGTCAATTCACGATGCTTCCTTCCATGTATGTGTATATTTATAATATGATTCTTTTCATTTCAATTTTATGTTCACTATATCATAATTCATATAATCACTATATCCAATGTAGGTCGATTGACTATACTCCGTATAATGCACGACCCCGTTTCCGAAGCATCACCCAGGATGGTTGAGGCCGTGAAGTACTCACAGCGTCATATCGGCGGCCTCAACTCGCAGGTTGCGGGTGGCGGGGGGTCAGGACGGTCAGGGCAGATTCCCAATGCGGATTGGACAAGATCTGCGGAAGCCAATGGGAATTGGTGAAGATGACTAAGATGACTGGATAGAAATGGAGGAAATCCAGTACTACAGTCCCTCCCTGGATGTTTATGAACACCTTGGAACTGTAGGTAGTGGATGGATGAACCATTTAGGAAGGAGGGTTTAACATGGACTTGGGTTGACAGTCAAAATGGAAAAAAGCCAGCTGGTGGCGGTTTTTTGTAAATACCGAGTTGATTTGCTTGATTTCTTTTGCAGGATATCCAAGATTGGCAATGTAATGTTTGGGCACCATTGAGTACCTAGAAAATGAATGGCCCCCCGCCCTCATGTGCTGACCCAAGTACATTCATCTCACTTTTAACACATGACCAGCCTGTTTGTGGGTTTGCAGGGTATTAAACTCTTGAGCATATCTACGTTATGGGTGCATAGACATCATAGCTCGGCAAAGTTGCCCAGGACTGGCATGAGGCAGACATCATCCTGGTAGGCGCCCAGCTGCGTTGTGTGCCGCGGATCCATCGACCCGGGGAGGGGTTCAACGGACTAACCAGCTGGATAGATTTGGGGAGCGAATCTTTGGAGTTTGTCTGGGGTACATTAGGGGTACTGGGGCTATCTAGAGACTGATCTTGATTGTACCCCCAAGTACACGTATCAATCAGTGATCAAGACCGTGTGCGCTGGGTTGTTCCTCAGTCTTAGTAGAAATTCAAGATTTCACTCCGTTTTTTCTCTCAGAAGCGACAGAAAAAAGATGACAATCCGTTTTAATTGGGGTACCCTTTTTTCAAGAGCCACTGCTAGGGAGACCTTAACAGCAACCTCGGCACCAGGCCCATCTCGATGTGGTAAAGGCGGGAGTCCTGATGGCTGCGGAACTGAAAATACTTTTTTAGGATGGAAAGGGTGTTCTTCCTTGCCTATTCTGGGTACTCTTTGGAGTCACAGTATGTCTGGGTAGATCCTTTTGGTTGTAAGTTTGGAAAACATGTCATTTCACCGAGTTCAACAGTCATTTCAACAATTTCAATATGGTAGTCCTTTTGCGATGTACTCAGGCCCCGTCGCCCACCAGTTGGCTATGCGGGGATTCAAGGCGGGGATTCACTGCGGAAGGAGAATGTTTACCTACTGTAAATTTTGATGTGGAAGCACCAAAATCGGAAAAACTTGGGGGAACCCAACCAAAATCAGGAACTAAAAAGTCACAAACATATTACCAATTACAGCATGAACAAATATGACAAGCAATAAACATGCATCAATCATGAAAGCATGGGTTAGTGGTAGCAACAATCAAGATCGGGGTGCTAACATCACTTGTGGGAAACGATGTAATTGTGGCAATTTCACCGCCAACAAGGAAATAAGGAAAATGGATGAATGTTATACAAAATGGTATTCACAGTGTTCATGGGTATTTTCCAAAATCTGGCCCAATTGGTTTTTGGATATTCCCAATTCTTGGACAAACTAAGACAGACCACGGTGGTACTTTCAAGGGATATGCTCCGAATTTCTGGCCATCACAGCTGTGCTTCTGCTCAAGGACATGGGCAGCTTTGGGATGCCGGGACAGGGGCCACTAGCTTGAACTTGAACAAATCCTGAAGCATCAGTGAAAGTCTAGCAGGCTCTTCATGACTGCAAGCAAACGTATTTTTCATCTCGCATCACATCTCGCACATGGCGTGATCACACGGAATTTTAAGCAGGACAGACTCCGCTTGGGTTGAGTGCGAGAATTAGGCAGACTCATGACCAATCCCCGAGAATTCCAAAGAATCAAACGGATCTAACTTCCAATCCGTTGCAGCCCCAAAATATACAAGCTGCGCATCCGAAACAAGCTGGTGGGGCGGCGCGCTGGGGTGGTGGGAAAGGGACCACGAGCGCCGTTTCGTTGCACCTCAGGAAGACCCACGAGTCTGTGAATCGTAGGAGCGGACTCTTTCTCCAGCTGGGCGCCGAGATAAAAGGTTTGTTTTCTTATTTGGGTCCAAAAAAAACCTCAAACAAAACTCCTATACAAATTATACAAGCTTGAGAAAAACTGGCGGTGCCAATGCCATGGTGATGCCATGGCCAAAGCCTGCCATGTCCTATGCCTCGCCGTCTTTGGCACCGGGCAGCTCTTCGTACCATGGACGTGCCCCTGGACGGTTGCACGGGTTGCACGGGTCGCGCCGCGCGCGCTGGCGGAGCCGGACATCGACAAGTGGCTGCAGACCTTGGAGGGCACGGAAGGTTGGCCAAAGGTGATGGAAATGGGATCTTCGTAGAAATTCACAGCTTTTTCATGATTGTTCATGAGTATTCTTCTATGAATCATGATGTGTTGATGATTTGTTTCTTTGTTTGGCAACCAGATTTATGATAGAGTCTATATCTATAGAGACTGGATGGAAAACGATGCAAAATGATGATAAATGATGCAAAATAGATAAGGTTCAAGAATGATTTTTTCAACATGGAGTTTTGAGGTTCACCGGTTCCACCCAAAATTCAAGAGCCATAGACCCAGTCCCAAAACAAGTGGGCCCGGGGCACCTCACAGAATCATTGCTGGTTTCACATTACAGGACACACCTTTAGATGAATGATATTAATGGGCAAACACGGTGGATGCCAAGATGTCCCCAACAAAAAAAGACTTTAAAACCAATCCATTGAGAATCCCCTTGGAGACTTCCCAGCTACAATCTGCGCCGCAGATGTGGAGAAGCTCCAGTTTCTGCCTCAAGAGACTTGGCAACACAAAGGGGTGCAGATTCGCTGAAGTGCTTAGGTAACACCCTTTTCACCAAAGTGAAGATCTGCTGAAAAACACCAAGCTCATCTAAATCAAAATCCATGTATCTATATATATATATCTGTAAATTGATTTTTAAAAAATAGTAATTAAAAATAATTAAAACAAATCAATCAATACATATCAAAACAACTTAATTACAAACACATGTTCAAAATTCCACAAGACCCAACACAAAAATTCACACAACAACACCCTTTGGGTTTTCCATTTTTAAAACCCCCGTCCCCCAAGCTGCTCCACCGTTTTCCAGGACCAGTTGCTGCTACTACGCACGCGCCTGCGGCAGCAGCGCAGGTACCGCCTGGCGGATGCGCTGCTGGAGCTGTTGCGGCCGCGCTTGGAAGCGGCGGAGCTGTGGGTGGAGGATGACCAGGACGGGGGGCTTGGGGGTGGGGAGTGGGGGTTAGGGGGAGGTGAAATGATGCTTGAAATGTCTTGAAATACCTTTAAATCAAATTGAATTAAGTTGAATTAAATTGAATCAAAGTCCCCACAATTTTTAACCGCCAGTTTGGTCATACTCTGTTGTAGCTCCACCCTACTGTTCCGTTTGTTCAAAGAATACCTGACCGATGCCTGCAGATATCTTTGCATTTATTTGTGATCATTAAATATCACCATATGTTCATATTTATTTTTGCTTAAAATTATTGCCTTCTCATTCAATCATCATGTCCAATCATAGCTTCAGCTAAATTTGAACTTTTACAAATCCCACAGTTTCTGGATTGCCAATCTAATCTAGTTTCCCCCTGTTTCCCCCAACTTTTCATTCTATTTCTCGATTTGCCCACCTTTTTCTGGTTTTCTGGTTGTTCTCCCCATATTTTTCCAGGGCGGCACTCGTTTGGTGCCGCACCGCGGCGCCTCCGCGGCGCGGCGAAGCGCGCGCGCTGCGCGCGCCGCCAAGGCGGCGCGGCAGGGCGCTGTGGGCGCCTTGCAGCGGTCGCTGAAGGCGGAGAACGTGGAGGAGCCATGCCATGGTCGTTGGTTTGGGAGGAAATCCATAGGAAATCTATGATGAACAATGGGGAATCTATGAGAGTATAATCTGCTAATGCTGGTAGGAAATGGAATCTGATATTCCCCACGGATCTTATGTAAATCCAGGGGAAGAATGGTTCCTTCGTCGAGGTTCCGTTGAATTTCCCTTGAAGGCTTGGCTGAAGCCTTCCTGAGTCACGGAGGCATGAGGGTTAAATAAAGTGTCATCGATGGCGGTACAACACCATCATCGCAGCTACTTGGTGTTGATTTCCTCGATTTAAAATCGCGGGGTGGCTTTGCCTTGCTAGGAACAATTTGCACAGTGTTCCTACACAGTCTTGGTGGCCATTGGAAAACACCTGCAACCTGGAGCTAAGTTGCATGGTCTGGATATATCTGAATTACTTGCTGGTCATACACACCATACCATGTACATTGTGGATAGTTTCTAACAATATAGTAGCAATAATTAACATTGTGATATATCCGTATGATTCCGCATGTATATATACATATCTTTATATATATATATATATATTGACATATTGTTTTGTATCTATATATACACATATCCATACGTATTTATTATATAAATATAACTCCATGTGTACGTATATGTACATACATACATACATACATACATACATACAGACATACAGACATACAGACATACAGACATACAGACATACAGACATACAGACATACAGACATACAGACATACAAAGTTACATATAAACATATAAACATATAAACATTTAAACATTTAAACATATATACATATACCTATACCTATATACAAATATATATATATATATGACTATCCATTTTTCTTGGTGGAAAGTTGAATTTCACATTCCCCAGCTTTGCACCACCCCTGGACGTTTGGCACCTCTCCAGGAGGCGGTGGCTGCAGCTGCAGCTGCTGCCTGTGGGGTGCGAAGAGCGTTGAAGGAGGACATCGAAGCGGCGCTGAAGGGAAGGCGCTGGGGGCCTGGCAGTTCCATGGTGTTTACCCTGGAAGTCTAACGTCTACATCCATAAGAATCCGTTCAGTAAAAAAATGTAGCTTCCAGTTTTTTAACATCATGATTTGTTTGGGTGATTTCCGATTACCATGTTTGATTGCAGAAAGGTAGTTCAGTCTTGGACCACATGTGCTTGTCATTGAGGCGCTCAAGACACATGCAAAGTTTGTTCGAAGGCAGACTCGTTGGTCTCGCATTCAATGGGGTTGAAAGTGCAGAGGCGATAGAAAGTTCAACGGATTGCGCAAACTCGGGATCTGTGCGCACGCCAGCCCAATGTTGTTCCGATACCAGGGACACCTCTGCTTGGCACTTATGTTTTCTTTGTATTTTTGACAGGTGTTGTTTGAAGTTCTTGCACAAACACTAACATCTTGACTTGGTTGGGAATTGGAAACTACTTTAGTGCAAACAATATATCTTGAGTGGGTTGCATCAGCTTGAAGCGGATGTGTCTCCTTGTGCCTACCTCAGGCAAGCATCAGACCTTGCACTGTCCCTGGCACTTGCCGGCTGCGAGGATCGGGAGATCTTTGATGCTTGGTTCAAATGCCGGTACTCGTGGCCCTCTGTGACTACCCATCAGTTTACCAACCTTCAAAAATGCGAGGTGCCTTGCAGTTTGAACAAAGTGGTCATCATGGATGCTTATCATGAGCCCAAAAAAATCAGTACTGTCCATCATTTGGGATTCATTTCGGGGATTAGCGATTCACCCAAGTCAGCTAAATACTAGAAATAATACGACAAAACCCAAGATATAGATACTGGTTGTTACTCACCCTGATTTCGGAGTTTATCTGAGATATCGACCCCAATAATGAATCCACCCTCCTAGAAGCCTTGGTTTAGTTGGATCTGTTCATTTTGGGGATCAACATGCAGGCTATACTTCATGTGATCGGGAGATGGGATTTGTTATCTCAAGTGATTGGTTCAAGGGAATTATTTGCTGGACAAACTTCATATTTATTATATAGTGGGGAAATCTGTGGTTTCCTGTAGTTTTTTCCTTAAACCAATTCATTGATTATCTGTCTAGTGAGGCTAGCCTAGCACAGATCTCCCAGAAGGAGTTGCTGGCTCGTCAGCGATCACTGGTGAGCGTGCAGCAGACGGTGGAGCGTTTGGCGACTGCGGGGTATCGACAGAGCCTCGTCCTGGGTCTGGGGGTATACTAGGAATCAGATTGATATTGCCCATATATACTGGGATGAATTTGGGATTATGGGATTTATGATGATTTATGAGGCTACTAAGCTACTATGGAAAATTATGGGATTATGAAAACTCGTTGATTACTATTTTTTGGGTATATTCGATGAGATACGTTGCCCAACAATATGTGGGTGCGTCTGAAAGTTGAGAAAACCCCAATGATGAAGGTGAACCTGTGGATTTGGGAGTGTGCCCCATGTTCAGAAAAAAAACATATTCATAATATGAGTCATGGCAACTACCATATGATTGTGGCAGTGCTCAAATGAGTCCCAAAACACCTGGTCATTGAATCTCTGTATGAATGACGGAATAAGCATCCATAACAACAACTTTTCGGCTGGATACTAGAGGTTTGACCCAAATTCATACAAGTAGCCAACAAAGACGGGGGATATGGCCAACAAGGGATGTTACTCTTCAACTGGTACGGGTCAAATTGTAAGACACCCCATCCATTCCACAGATGACGGTCGTTGGCCTATGGCTGCGAGGCAAGACTTCCCTGGCCTCTTTAAGGCTGGTGAGGCAGCGTTGAAGCGCTTAGGTCCCTTGGTGGAGTTTAGGCTTGGGCATCTGTCATATGGACATGGATCATTTCTGTTGTACACCTCCATGTTGGAGGCTGGGGAGCATTTTTTTTGGTTAAAATATAAAGTATTGTAAAGTGCCATTCGCAACCACATGATGGACCTGTGGTCCTGCAGGTTGTCCCCAGTCCTCCAACTTGCGCGATTTGCAGATGGGCAACTACTCATTGCACTCCCCCCGGCCTTTGTTGTGGCTCTTTCGCCACGCCACCCGGCAGGGCCGAAGGTGTATACCTCCAACAAGCTCCAAAGTTCATGAGGCAGTTGTGAGGTTGAGCCAAAGTGGCAAGCCATTGGTCATCGATTTGGGTTGTGGTTTTGGGGCTTCCAGTCTTGGTTTGACACAGCATGGCTTCGCTGTTCTCGCCGTTGATGCCTCGGCCCATTGCATCCGCTATGCCACGGCCTTGGCGCGACGCTGGCAGCTGCCGGAGAGCTGTGCCAGCTTCGTGCAGTGTGGGGCAGAAGAAGCATTGGCAGCTGCGCAAAGTGTCGCAGACATCGATGTGAAGTGGATTTTGATCAATTTTCCTACGCCTTTTGCTGTTCAAAGTGACAGAGCTGGACTTAGTTGCTCCAAAAGATACCTGATGATGCTGTGTTTCAAAATAACCCAGGCCATCAAAGAACTTGTGTAGAGTTTGTGTTTGCAGATCGCTTTTCGTAGAACGATTCAGCTGGACTTGCAGTGGTTGGTTTTCTTGCTCGACGTGCAGAGATACAATCCTGAATCCTCTAAGGTGGCAGTACTGAAACAATCAGCAGCAGTGGCAACAGTATCTCAGCAGCAGTTATCACGGTTTCGCTACTTATTGACTGTGGTTGATGTTGTTTCATTCAAGTTTGTTTGTGTAGGTCAAGAGTCAAGGGTTTTCTTTGCCATCTGTCTTTACATACAAAAACACAATACATATCAGGACTTTAGTTTTCGTTAAGCTCCTCTTCAGGGATTAGCCATCTTGTCATCATTAGATCAGTTGTACAGCCTAGTGACCTAGTGGTTTGAATATATATATATAATTATATATATATATATATATTTGGATTCTCTGAAGCATTCTGGCATCCTTTGTTATCCACATAAACTGGTTGAGAGATGGGTGTCTCATGATTTTTCATGATATTTCCAGACCTGGAACGTCAAAGCTCAGCCACATCCCCTTGGTTTTCCTGAGGCCATTTGCCTCAGAGTTTCGAGTCTTCAGACTTCATGGCGAACCAAAAGATGTTGGAAGATGCCAGGCAATGCTTGCTGGCACGTGGACATGATGGTCACCTCCTGGTGGCTGGGTGACAGAAGAAAAAGGTGGTGAATTGACCGAAAAATGGGGATCCGCCTGTGGTGCCCCCAGTTCTAAGCCCTATTGTATAGATTCTATAAATATACCATCTACCATAAATCCTTGTGAAGCTAGTTATAAATCACGCTAGCTAAGTGTTGGGCACCGCATTGTAGCATATGAAAAGATTGTTTTGTTCCGAAGCCCGGTTCTTCTCTGTGCGTCAAGGATCTTTGTTTCTTTAGGGCTAAGCAAGAGGTATTAGTGATTACTAGTGATGAGTTCTAGTCGCATCATCCAGTCAATCCTGGATACATAGAAAGTGATACTGCTAGTTCTGTCCCATTGCCCTCTGGTGTCATATTCACTGGTTCATTCTGGCTTTCATGCTGCCACGAAGATGGAGTTGGAACCACCCAATGGTTTCAGTTCAATCAATTCGGAACTCTCGAGCATCCTCAAACAACGTTTGGGTCTCCAAACAGCAGATGGCTTAAAACCTCAAGATACTCACTTGATCTTCGAATGTTCCTGGACCTTTAATTTTGATGCCCACTGGGCAAGGTTTCCAGGCTGGTTGCATCTCAATTTGGGGCGATTTCCCTCTAATTATCAAAGACAGTTAATTGTGGTGAGGCTTCAAAGGGGGGCCAAGAGGGCCCAAGACAGGGCCCCCAAAAAAACCGTGATGATAGGTGTCTTGAATGGACCGCATGCTTAGCCATACTTAGCCTTGATTCACGAATGGCAAAAACTACAAAATATGGTTTGCCTATGTTTGCCTTTTGTCATTTGATGATATCTGCAACTTGCCAGTAAGCACTGCCAGGTGCTCTCAATCAAAAGAATAACCAAAAGAGTTTGTTCGAAACTTTCAAATTGGATGGTTCAGAAAAAGTTTCCTTTTATTCAGGTATATTAAAACTATAACTCGTGGAATACAGCCTATGAGCACCTCCTTTTCAGGAAACCCCTATGGAACCTGCCCAGCTCCACAGGCTCCACAGTTGATGGATCTCAGGTTCAAAGCAACGTGGAGGATGTGGCCGTGACCTTACGTGAGATGGCAGAAGGCAACGGCTGGGAGGCGGTGACGGATGGATCGTTTGGGCCGGAGCAGCAGGAACTGCAGGCCGTGCACCGGTCCACCGGTCGGGGGGGAAGGGAAAAAATTGGGGCAATGGTGGGAAACGAATAGAAAATGATGGAACATGTTGGGAAATATTCAAATGACTGGAAAATAGTGAACAAATCAAAGAAACTTGATGAGCACTGATGAAAGAAAATATGAAACTATATATCTAGATGTTGTGGATGGCATTATGGCCAAACATAGGAGCTCTTGATGCTTTTGTTCAGCTTGTGATTTACAAATTTTGGTCGCAGGCAATGTCGAAAGTACGACGTTTGGCCTGGAGACATTGATCCTGAAAATCTTCCAACTTGGGTGTGTTTGAAAACTGGGCACAAACAAGCCCAATCGTGCATCATGGATCTCCCCATTATTTGATGATATGGGATGGCCACAACTCGAAATATGCCCTCTCCAAAATCACTTGTGTATATACACATTATATTTTTGAATAATATTTTATCATTTATGTGTCATATATATATATATTTATTTAAATTATATGTATATATATATACACATCATTTTGTGAAATTTTATTTATAGTTTATATATAGCCCAGTATATTTCCAATAGATCCCTGTGATTATTTTTCAAACCAGCATGAAATCCCCATCAAATGACAGTAATCAAAACCACATGTCCAGTGGCGAAATTTCCATGAAAACCCCATGTGTTTGGGGTAAATATGAATTCAATCCCCAAGATGGTTGGCTCTACGCACTTGGATCTGGCCACCCTCACCAGGCCTCGCAGTGGCAGCCCCGTCGCCAACAGCACTTTGCCGCCACGGATGGCCGGCGAGCCTTTGGCCCCGGCTGGCCGCTGGTCTTGATGGATACATAGCCAGGGAAATGGCTATGTCTAGTGGGTGAATCATCTGTGAATGGGCCATGTTCCATAGGTATGTTAAATTACCAGATGCTAATTTCTCTTGATGGGGTTTGATCTAATTTTGGGTTTCATGATTTCTGCACCCAGATGCCTCCGAAGTGACGGTGTATAGAAAATTAGATTGATGTTGTGGTATGTTGGTATCCACGTATTTGGACATTGAAATGGAAATGCAAATGGAAAACATTACTGTTTGTTGTCGGGTAGAAAATGCATTTTTTTCCTCCAGGCACCCAGATGCTCACGCAGCGGCCTTCTGCACGTTGAATTCAGGCTTCCAACACCGTTAGCCTCCAAAGTCAGGACCTAAAAACGCTCCATATTCTGTAGCGTGGAGCCTGTGCCACAGGTCTAACTCATCAGCCAACGGTGGCTGTACATCTTCACAGGGCCATGATCCAACGGCAGACAGGATGGATTCGGCTACTGCTGCACAGAGTGCCGGGGGGTATTCTTTGAGGGGCGCCGTACGCCACCCCCCGGACTCAGAACGTCCAATTGCACATGCTTTGGGGAGCTCACGTCTCACACGCCACTTATGGAAACGGCGCATCAACCCTGGCATGTTCAAAACTAGAAATTCGGTGGGCTTCGGCGTAGGTGCGCCGAGAAGCCCCTGCGCTATCTTGCAACGTTCAACATTGGGAGATTCTAACAAAATCTGCATGGCAGGCAATCGCCAGATACTGGCCGAGCTTTCTTTGGCCGGCTCTGCCGGATGCTCCAAAAGAGCGCAACCCTGGGTCTCAACCAAGCCAATAATGGCTTCCAGGGAAAAAACAAGGAGTTCATTTCCTACAATGATCTGTGCTAATTCGCGCAGCGTCAGAGAGGAGAATCCCCATAGCTCAGAAAGGTCACGGACAACACGTGGGCCAGAACCAAAGCCAGAATCCTGGAGCTGATGTTCCCGCGCACAGGTCCACGTCTCGCAAGGCGGGCCAGCAATGAACGCCACCACTTTGCGCTCCTTGATGGCTGTGAGCCAGTATCGGCGATTTTTGGCACATCTGACATTGCCATGCACAGGGTCGATAGTGACATCCAATGACACGATGTGGAGTACACATCCTTCCGGCAATGAATCAGCGGCCATGAACTGCTCCAAAAAGAATTGTAAATCTCCTTGCCGGCGTCTTCCTGCAAACGCATGCAGTATCACCCGATGACACCCAAAGGCCTGAGGGCCAGGAGGCTCGGGGAAGCGCGTGTCAATGTCAGCGCACTGCTGTTCCAGGAATGCAACCGATGGAGCTGAGCTCTTCTGTGGGCGCGACATGGTAAAGAAGGCAAATGAGGAGCTTTCGCGCAAGCGCTCCAAACATTTCTGCATCTCAATGGGCTCGACGCCAGCATACTGCGCATCTTCAGGCTCAAAAGCGTCCTCAAAGAACAGCAATGTCCGCGTCCACGTAGTCCAGGAGATAGGATTCTCTTTCGCATAGTCCAGCACTTGGTCATAGAACTCCTGCAGATCCAGGTTCGGCACAACGGAATCTGTGATATGCACAAAGAAGTCATGATCAATGCCAGGGTCTTCACGGCGGGGACCTTCGCGATTGATCGGCCCTTCTGCTTGAAGTGGCGGCAAAAGGCGATCATGGCGGTCAGCGAGAATACGGTCTTCGCTCGATCCAGCACCTGGTACCAAAGCTATGCTCAAAGGTCTGCTAAGAAGCTTCTCACGACAGCGTCTGCTGTAGTAAACATGTGCCTTCGTTTTCTGCATAGTGTGAAAAACTTTCAAACAAGCCGGACACGTGGGCTCTGCAATAAGGAGACGCTCTCTGGCAACATGACCATGTCGTCGGAACATGTGCGCCGCCTCGCCAGCCTTGTTCGCAAATCTCTGTTGACAGTGCATGCATCCAAAAACTTGCTGGTCTGATTGAACCTGCTCACCACAAGCTTGGATCTGATCTTGTCCAAAGAAGCTGCAAAGCGCAGGCAGAGCTCGCATGTGAAATTCTTTGACTCTCCATGTGCGTTGATTTTGCATCACATCATGCAGAGTGGCTCTTCGAATCAAACGCTTCCAAAAACGAGGATGGTGAACGATGATGTAACGCCACTGAGCAAAATGCTGTCGAGGGCATTGCAAATTGGAGCTCCTTTCAAGCTGCTTCCACATCCAAATGATGTCCTCCTCAATGATGGCACGCCAGTCCGCGTCAGCAGCAAGCACGCCCCATTCTTGTCGAACTCCACAATGGAATAGTGTCCCAAGATATCGCAATCGTTGGCGACGCAGCAAGATTGTTGGGCTGGGCATTTCCGCTCGAGCCAGGAGCTCTTCAGTGTGTACATGTTGGTCAGGAGGGATCCTAAGCAAACGACGATACAAACGGAGAACTGCAACATCAAAAGCCTTGACCGTCACATTGTCCGTGGCAACCCAGCTCTCGGAACCGTACATCAGCTTACTGACAATAAGCGTGTTGAACAATTCATTCTTCTTGTGTTGGTCAATCTGATCATTGTGGTAAAGAATGCGTCGATGTTGGTTGAACGCAGAATGCGCCAAAGCAAGCCTTCGGCGAATCTCAACTCGCTGATCTCTTCCATGGTGCAACATACCTCCTAAATGGAGATAACGGTTCGTCACCGGAACCTGATGGACCTTGTGCTCAGAGATCACCGTCAGCATTCCGGTCGTCTCGGGTCCAAATAGGTCTTTCTTTGCTTGACGAGAGCCATGTCCTCGAAGACTGAATAAAACCTCCGTCTTGCCACGACTGCGATTCGGCGAAAGTCCATGTTCAAGGCATAGGTCAAGGAGGAGGGCCGAGGTATGGATGGTTTTGTTCAACACTGCAACCGGCGTGCCTCCACTGAGACAAATGGCGGTGTCATCCATCCAAGTCGGCCCCATATACTCATGCATGGCGGCGGCTCTTGGTTCTGCGTCCAGACCATCGAAAAGTGGTAATTCATCAATTGCAGGATGTAGTTCAATCAAGCCATTGGCGGACATCTGCTCTTGGAGTTTTCGAAGCACCAAAGCCCATACATAGCTGAACACTACATCCGCAAATGGATCGCCCGGTCTCGATCCAAACTCCGTTTGGACAGCGTCATTTTGCTGACGCATCCAAAAATGCGTATTGGCATGAATGGCAGCAATGCTTTTCTGCAACAGTTTGGGTGCAGCAGCTTGTTCAAGCGCATTGGGACCTTCCAGTAGCGCCCAAAGTTCGTGAAGGGCACTTGTCGGCATATTCAGCTTGCTGAGGAATTCTGCAAGGGCTTCATCTGTGACCTTGTGATGCAGGCACAAAGGTCGAAAAATCCTGTAGAACGCCTCCTTCAAATCAATGAAGGTGACCGCTGCTGAGTCACCTTTACTGTGCGCCGATCTCAAATGGGCTCTGACCAGATGGAGACCGAAGCAAACCGGCATGCGACGTTTGCCGTCAACCTGTTGCGCCTGTAAAAAGCGCTCGAAAACGCTGGCCTGATGAGATCTAATGGTCCGATGCAAAGCTTTGCCAATCTGGCTAGAGATCAATAATGAGCGAAATGAGGAACACTCATCGGTTGGCCCACGCCCTTTGTAAGCTTGAACAAGAAGTCCTCCCTTATACGACAAATCCTCACCCCCATGCAGCATCAGTTTCCACAATGATGGGAAAACAAGAGTCGCAATCTCCGTGGGGAAGAAGTGCAATAATTCGCCAGGCAGGGCATCATTACCACAGGCTTTGCCGCAGGCCGTTCTCCTCATTGCCAGCTCCAAATCAGTGAGCGTTGGCATGTCTGACACGTCGGCTTCAAGAGCAACTTCTTGGGCCGCTTTGAGGTTCTCAATCCACTCATTCCGAAGACTCTGCCATGACATTCTGCGACCACCCTCCATTCCTCTAAAGAACTCAATCCAAACCGCCAATGCTTCTGAGGGAAGTTGGCAAATTTCTCCATCATGATTTTTGACATGTGGAATCGTTGGCTTTTTGCAAAGCTTGACATTGGTGGGTCCAATGAAGTCACGCAGAGTTCGGAGGATTGTTGATGCTGGAGCTTTGTCATCCAGGTTGCTAAGCCTTTCTCGCATGATCGCGCCTTTTGCCTGCTGAAGCTCCTTTTTGATTGCTCGGGCCAGACAATGGTGTAGAACTTGGTAGCGGAGCTTCAGGCAGCACAAGGAGGTCATGTAGCCAAAATGCTCAACTTGATCTGCTGGTGAGGTACGCTGAGACCAGGCACCAAATGCTGCATGAAGAACATGTAGGGCCGCTCGTTGTCGCAGCTGCTTGAGCTTTTTCCGCACGCAAATCTTTTCGCTTCGCAATTTCCATGTGGTCTCAGTGATATATGGCTTTTTGGGTTGTCCGGCAGGTTTTCCACATTGCTGCATCGCATGATGGAGGCAATGCGAGAGATGATCTGCTTGACATTCCACATCAGTTGCCCATGGTTGTGCATGCGCTTTTTGCAGTTCCGAACGCAGAGTCGCTCTGACAACTGGATCATGCCATGCAATTTTGGGAGAACGCTGGGCCACTTTGTGTTGAAGTGCAGGAGCTTGACAATGCCACTGGAGCTGCAAACCGACTGCTTTGTGGTCTTCACCAGCAAGACCTAAATCAAGATCTTCAATGACACAGGAATAAGTGCATGCTGGGAGCCAATCTCGTGGAACAGCAACATAATCTATGATGTGCTCAGTCTCCTGATTGAATGCCGTCCAAGTGGATCTGGGACCCTGATGACACTCAGATGTGGACGGCAAACAGAGATGATGCGCCTCTAGGCTGCTTCTGAATAACATCGTGTTTGTGCTAGAAGGCAGGCCAGACACAAAGACTGTTTGACCATCGTATGGTCCAGGCGCCGCATTGGCATCTATGAACCAAAACCATGGATCACCACCAGCAACTTGTTGGATGAGCTCATCAGTTTGCTGCCACCATTGAGAGCGTTCAGCGCG